TATAAAAATTATATAAAAAAATAAAATAAAAAAATTATTCTTATAATACCATTATTTATTTTTAAGTAGGAGCATCATTTTTGTTTAAGATACGTCCGGTTAACAGCGAACCTTTCTTTTTCTTTTTCTTTTTTTCTTTTCTGTTGAAAGTTTTATTAAGAAAATAGTTGAAAAAAAGTATTATATAAAAAATTAAAAAATAGTAAATAAAACGTTATTGAGTTTTATAATAAAATTTTATTAAAATGTTAATTTTGTTGTGATTAAAATAGAAAAAATACATATAAAGTTAGTAAAAAAAAGTTATTGAGTCTTGAGAAAGTCGTATAAATTTTTTTTACGAAAAAAATGAAAAAAAAGTTTATTGATTTTTTTTTTGAATAAATTTGTAAAGGTTGAAATCGAACCGTTATCTCGAAAAAAGGAAAATACACTTATACGTGACTTAACGTTGTTGGTCGAAAAATCCAAGTGCAAAAAGTTTATTGATTTGAAATTATTGAAATTATATAAAAATATAAAAGCTAAATATTTACTCTTACTCTTTATTTATTGTAGTTTGAGGTATATCACTCTCTTGTAGACTGATGCTTAAGTTCGATGAGTTTGATGAAAAGAAAGAAAAAAATACATTTGATATCCCTTCACACCACATCACAACTATATAAATTAACCACAGCACACAACTTCCTCTACTACGGTTTTCACTATCATTTACATTTCTCCATGGCGCCTGATAAGGAAGTTTTTGCAGAGTTCAAAACCTTAATACAGGTCTACAAAGACGTCTCAGTTTTGGGGTTAGTATTTCATCAAAACACTAACAGGCTGAATCCAAGAGTGTGTGCTTTTTCCCCAGTTTCTTCATTGATGGGATTTGCTAATAATTTCACATAGTTAAAGGCAAGAAATGAAATTTTGGGTTTTTTGCAACTCATTCTTGTTTTATATCAGACATAATAATTGATATATGGTACTCCATTTTTATTTTTTTTTAACCCTACCAAGCAGCGCGATAGTGGAGGGCATTGGTGGTGTTGGGGTGGCAATCTCTGTTCCTGTGTTTAACTGTCTTTCAATCCACGCTTGCTTCGTCTTCCCCAGAAACTGAAAGTCAACTGGAACTCCTGCTACGGACATTTTACTCATTGCGTTCCCTTGTCCCTGTGAAAGGTGGGTGGATACTGCCAAAATTTAGTTATCCCAAAAAATTGTCTTCGGAGTGAGGGAGT